TTTGTTTTTGGTTTTTCGAGACAGGGTTTCTCTGTGTAGCCCGGGCTGTCCTGGAACTCACTCTGTAGACTAGGCTGGCCTCGAACTCAGAAATTCACCTGCCTCTGCCTCCCAAGTGCTGGGATTAAAGGTGTGCGCCACCACTGCCTGGCGGCTGAATTATATTATAAGCAATCATATTAGCCTAAATGAATTTATTAAATATGAACAGTTCAAGGTTTTAATTACTACAGTTTTGTTATGTTTTATTTTAGGAAGTGATTTGCAGCTGAGTGAGTCTGACAGTGACAGTGAGGACTGAAGCAATATCAAACTATAAAGAAAACATTTGCTAAGATGTGTGAGAATCTGTTTTGTATTAATAAATATTTCTATGTTTTTGGAAAATATGCAACTTTTGCTGAAAAAAAAATAAAGTTGGTTCAGAATTTTCAACTATTTATTGGTATTCTCATGTGTTATCTTTGTTTACTCCTAACAAAACGTTATCACATTTGATAGATGAGAAAACAGATTGAGACATTAGGGAACTTCCCCAGGGATTGTTAATGAACAAGCTGCGGATCAAGTATTCCAGAGTCTATGTCCACTGTTCTGTTTTACCACATGGTTGTCCCAAATTGTGAAATGCTAAAATAATTGATTTATAGTAAGGGCTTGTGGTTTTTATTAGAGTTATGCCTTTCCTATCTGATATTTCTTAAATTATGACTGAACATACTTTAATTCTTGCAAAATTTATACTTTATATAAAACTGAAGTTATATAATTATCCTAGTAGATGTTTTGTGATCTCTTATAATGTTTTGCTCTCAAGAGATTAATTCAAGTATTAAGTATTTCGGTACTTATATTTACAATACTTTTGAATTTGGAGAAAATACAGCTATCTAATTATAGCTGAAAGCTACCAAACAACAGTTTCTTTATTAAATTTAAAGCAGTTTTAAGTTCACAGAAAAACTGGTAAGAAAGTTGGGAGAGTCCTTTTCCCTCTGACCCTCCCTGCCACCTCATGCCAAAGGGGCATTTACTTGCTCTAACTGATAGCTCTCCATTGGTACCTCGTCACCACCAAATCTATAGTTTATAATAGGCTTTATACTTGATGTTGTACACCCTATGGATTTTTCACAAATGTGTACAGTCACAGCATAAATCCATCACTGTATTAAGTATAGCATAGTTTCATTGCCTTAAAAGTCTTGTGTGCACTGCCCATTCTTCAGGCTGGCCTTTAATAAACCTCACTTCTCCTGCCTCATGCCCTAAGTTAGACATGTGTCACTATTACTCCTGGTTCGACATCATATGATACATCACTGCCTCCATAGGCTTTGCCTTTTCCTGATATCCTGTAGTTGGAAACATACAGTATATAGCTTTTTCAGATCAGCTTTCTATGATGACTCAGTAGTCTTACTTCCTTTTAATACTGAATACTGTTCCATATCTGCATCCACCATAGTTTATCAATTTATCTATTGAACCAATATCTTGTTTTCTTCAAAATTTGGCAATTATAAAAAAATCAATGTCATCTGTTCTCACTGGTATTCCTTTAGCTATAATTTATATGCAGTCTTATGTTCTGGCTTTACTTTCTCGTGCTTTCTCAATTTTTCCTTCTCTTTAGTCTCCCTCCCTTAATTTATCTTCATTTTCAGCTTTATTAAGCAATACTTTACTGAAAACTATCATTATATTTTTTTTTGGTTTTTTTTTTTTTTTTGGTTTTTGAGACAGGGCTTCTCTGTGTAGCCTGGGCTGTCCTGGAACTCACTCTGTAGACCAGGCTAGCCTCGAACTCAGAAATCTGCCTGCCTCTGCCTCCCAAGTGCTGGGATTAATGGTGTGCGCCACCACCGCCTGGCCCATTATATCATTTAACTAAAGCAATTTCATATATTAAATGTAGGTAGTAAAACACTCCTAGAATATAAAGTTTTTACTCAAAGTTGTTTTGCTGGAATTCCTTTTGTAACTATAAGAAATGAATGAGCTGGGAAGGCTAGCTCCCAGATTTAGTTTTCTATAATCAAAACAGCTCATTTTGTTTCCTGCTTTTATTTTTCTTGTAAATGAAATATTTTTACTATTTTTTGAGGGGGCAGCATGTTTTGAGATAGTCTCAGTATGCAGCTCAGGGTGGCCTCAAACTCATGATCCTCCTGCCTCACCCTCCATTTCAAGGATTAGGCATGCATCATCACACCCAACTTAAACATCATTTTATTTTAGTTTTTATTCTTTGTATACATTAAATCTTGACCCCAGTTTCCCCTCTCTCCACTACTCCCATTTCCCCACCTCTCCTCTCCCCCAGACCAACTCCTCCTATTTTTCCCTAAGGGGGGGAAAAAAAGAAAAAAAGAGCAGGCTTCGCAGGGATATCCACCAAACACAGCCTAACAAGATACAATAAGACTAGGCACAAATCCTCATGTCACAGCTGGACATGGCAATCCAATAGGAGAAAAAGGGTCCCAAGCACAGGCAAAAGAATCAGAGACATTCCCTCACTCCCATCCCACTGTTGGATGTTCTACCAGAACACCAAGCTACACAACCATAATGTATATGCAGAGTTCCTCGGTCATACGGGGTCTGTGATTATGTCAAACTCTATGAGTCCCTGTGAGCTTGGCTTAATTGATTTTGTGGGTCATGTTCTTGTAGTGTCCTTGACCCCTCTGGTTCCTAGAATCCTTCCTTCCCCTCCTTTGCAGGCTTCCCCTGGCTTCACCCAGTGTTAAACACCATATCATTGAATTCATTTTTATTCTTTATACCCTTCAAGGGGATGAAAATAAGGTTTTTGGTTTGTCCTGTAGTCTTACACTGTCAAAATCAACTCAAAACAAAACAAAACAATCCAGTGTGATCCCAAAATGTGTGGTGGCTTTCTCTCCAGCAAGCAAGCAAGCAATTCTGCAGCAGATGCAAGTTGTATGTCCTTTAATACAATTCACTTTCTGATGCAACCTGCCTGGGGACAGCATCAGATCTCACAGCATGTGGGCCCACTTGAGATGTCAATTCCAAGCACTACATTATTTTACTTTTGTTTAAGACCAATTGGCCATGAATAAAGGCCTCTCTGATCCCTCCTCTTATTCAGTTGCTTAAGTGGCCTACAGACTCATAAGCATATTTTTATGAAAGGTAATGTGAAGAGGTGACAGGCCAAGGTATGAGGAAGGGGTGTGGAGAGTCTATACCCTCCCTGGCCACACAAAGTTCAGCAATCTGGATGTTCTCCAAATCGTGTCCTTTCTGATTCTACAGAGACTTTATTGCATAGGCGTGACTGCAGATAGACTATCCAGATTCTTCGGTATTTCTTCCCCAAGGGCCTGGAGCAAATTCTTCTGAAATTAAGAGGGTCTAATGACCTACTATTATGCAAAGAAGACCAGACTGTGTTTTTATGACCTGCCCTAAGAACAATAGGATAAGATTAAGGTATATTTTTAGACTCTGTGGTCTTCCTTGTCAGAGTGAAATTCTAGTTTCTCTGGTCTGCCTTGAGAGAAATGAAAGCAGGTGTGAGGGGAGGAGGAAAGACAGGAGGAGGGAGGGAGAAAAGGAGGAAAGGAGAGAATAGGGGAGAAGGAAAGAAGAGAGACTGCTTTCTAAGACTTGCTTTGGAGGTTGAAAATATCCTAACATTATCTCATGACTTAGAAGATTTAGAGAATAAGAATTACAGGAGCGCTAGGCGGTGGTGGTGCACGCCTTTAATCCCAGCACTTGGGAGGTGGAGGCAGGCGGATTTCTGAGTTCAAGGCCAGCCTGGTCTACAGAGTGAGTTCCAGGACAGCCGGGGCTATACAGAAAAACCCTGTCTCAAAAAACAAAAACAAAAAAAAAAAAAAAATTACAAGAGCGATGAGCCAAGAGTCATGGATGAAAATCAAAGTATATATATCATAGTATCACAGACACTCTAGAGAGACTAAGGGAAAGAACCTTGAAAGACTTAGAAGCAGTGTGCACTGCAAATATATTGTCCTACACTTACAGATCCATCAGGTAGAGGCTCAGCTCAGCTCAGCAAATCACAACTTCTGCCCAGTCTGAGACTCAGGTAGCGTGTGCTGCTTCTTTTCTACTTCCTGACTCTGGTGTAAAGCCTAGAGCCTTACAGAGAAGGTGATTATAAGCAGTTTCCAGTTTAAACTAAGTTGACAATTGCCAACATGAAAGCTGGAACCAATCAAGTATGGCTAACTAAAGTGATATATTTGTATGGTAAATTTGATGAAATAGAAGGAAAAAAATCTTGCTTCGGGCAACAACATAGAGGAATCTCACCACTAGTAGTATTGAGTAACAGGAAAAGACATAGAAAATGCAAACAGCGTTATTCTATTTACATGAAACTGAGTCGAGGCCAATAAAATCCACGATGATTGAAGACTGGTGATTGCTCTGATGGAGGAGAATTTGCCTGGCAGGCAGAAGGCAAGCAATGGGTATTATTCTTTGAAGAACTTCCAGCAATGAAGTGCTAGAGAATATTTTTTTAACTTATCTGTGTAGTAGGTAGCTGTCTGAATTTCACATATGTAAAAATAAATGGAATTGTATGCTTGTGATTTGTGCAACTAGGTTGTAAGTTATATTTGATTGCAAAGGCCCATAGATTCAATTCAAAAGAAAAGACATTTGCAAGGCAAAGGATGGCAGTGTTAATATCAATAATACTCAAATATATCTTACAGATTTACAAAGGTTAACAATTCAATAAAGAAAAATGAGCAAAAAAAAAAAAGATAGATCACTTGAAAATTTCAAAATCATTTCTTTTGGCCCAGAAATCTCCCTTTTATCAATTGTTTTACAGGTAAATTTAACTCATATGCTCATAGTTGAACTGTATTTGCACCCATATAATTGAAAACCTGTTCATAGATTTATTGACTATTTGGGAAACATCTGTTCGTTCCTTTTAACCATTTTTTATTAATCATCTGTAATTGATTTTTGGAGTTGCTTATATAGTATGGGCACATCATTTTTGATAGATACATTATGAACATTTTCTTGCACTGGGATGTACTTTTTCTTTTTTTTTCTTTTTTCTTTTTTCTTTTTTTTTTGAAACAGGGTTTCTCTGTGTAGCCCTGGCTGTCCTGGAACTCACTCTGTAGACCAGGCCAGTCTCAAACTCAGAAATCTGCCTGCCTCTGCCTCCCAAGTGCTTGGATTAAAGGTGTGCGCCACCACTGCCCGGCTGTACTTTTTCATTCTTAATGGTATCTTTTAACGAACAGTGTTCGTTAATCTTAATATTATGTATCTCATCTTTCTTTTATTATTTAAATCCACAATTTATGAAGAATTGATTTATTTTTTATATAATCTTCAAAAATTTTAGCTTACTCCATGGTTACAAACATCTTTTATGTTTGATTTCAAAAACCTTGATTTTTGA